TAAATATTATGATTTTATAAATTAAAAGTGAGTTATTCTATCTGAAAAACCTAATAACTATTAGAACTGATCATACCATATCCTTGGATATTTGTAAATGAATCTTTAACAACCATAAATTTTCAATTTCAATTAAAAAAACTAAGATAATACGCTCATTTAAGACATGAAGATAGAAAATAGTGTAATATAAAGTTTGTTTATACAAATATAAATTTTATATAAATATATATAAATATATTTATATAATAATATTATCTTGTAAATTTTTATAAAATCAATTTTATATAAAATGCGCCAATTTTAATTTTTGTTTGAATATAGAGAACTGAGTGAGTTGCTGCTGAAGAAAAGCAGATTAACATATAGTAGACTCGGATATATATGAAGATATTTGATTCTTAATTTTAAGTCTATCTTCAATACTTGCATCAATAGCCAGATGAGTTGAAATATCGCTATATCAAGGGGCGTGTGATGTTGAAGCAAAAGTAATGATGAAAGTTTAGTAGTAAGAACAATACTTAAAAATTAGGCTAAAAAATAGTTGCAGATATCAAAGGCTAGGGAAACTGAATATGGACTAATTTCAACTTGTTAAAAAACACAGAATAGTCAAACATAAGTCAAGGTAAAATATATATATTTTAAGGTGGAGACTCGAGAAAAAATCAGGAAAGTGGAGTTTAAAATTATTTGATTAAAAAATATAAAGGAAAAATATTATGTTCATATAGAAATGTGCATTTTTCATTTCTTTTTAAGAATTAGTAGTCAATCATTGAATATTTGAAAAATCCTCAACAAAATGAAATTATGCTGCCGAATACCTGCTTTCAATTCCATATTTGTAATTTCATATTTTCATTCTAGAAAATCTCATAAATTTAGGAAGTTTCAAATCACATGAAAAATTGGGTGGTTCTGTTGTTATTATGGTTAGCCTTGATTAAAGGAAATATTCGAATGTATTGTAAACAAAATCCCATAAGATACTTTCAGAAAGTATAAGTGCAGATGTCTAACATCAAACAGGATGATATGAATATGTATCAATACTAAATTTCTGCTTAAAATAGTCTCTTACCCACCCCACTATTTAAGTTTATTAACATTTCATCTCTTCGTATATATAATTATTGAGGGTTAAGAATATAGATTGTATTGAATCAATTAAATTAGATTTTCAATATCCTTGTAGACATCAAATTAATAATTTAACAAAAAGAAATCCATTGATTTGTTCTACATCAAATATTAAACTCATTCCTTACCATTTTAATATAGATATTTACATTTAAAATCCCTCTAATTCTTCACCTTATCTAAGCAACTATATTTAAATATATCCAAACTAATAAATTGATGATCTTGCTGTGGAATTTAATAATATTAGACTCTATTAAATGAGCCATTTAATTTGAGTAATTAAACCATTAAATCTCCATTTTCAGTCTATTTCCAATACAGCATAAAATTTGAATTTAATGAATCATTCAGATGAGATTGGCTTAATAAACTTATTGAAGACCATTATATACTTTTGTTTTCAAAATTTAACTTTCAGGTTTTTATTGAAATTTGATTTGATTACAATTTGATCATTTGTTATAAAGGTTATGATGAAAATCTAGTAAACAAAACTTGGATTGAGCAAATTTGATTTATATTGCTTGAGAACAATCTTTTGATTCATAACGCGTTGGTTCTTTCTCAAGAAAAGAAACCTTATTTAATTGAATTATAATAAGGCAGAACAATAACAATAATGTATAATATCTCTTATTTAATCTAAATTAAATAACCTGTTTAATTTAAAATGTTAGAGAATAGAGTGCACATTTATGATTATTCACATAGTTCCAGATAGAAAAGCCATTCTATACATTATTAACTTATAATCAGGTAGAGATAACATTGAAAAGGTCATAGATTGTTAGCAAATCTAACAAATGAACTGTGTTTACCATTATCTTACTCAGACTGATTTGAATATATTGATGAATACTTTACAAGACCTTTTATAACGTTTGAAATTATGTCCTGACAATAAAAATGAAAAAAAATAAATCTCAATTTAATAGGTTATTATTATAAATATTTCATCTCAAATTGTTTATTGTTCCTTATCCTTATCCTTAGGCTTTTTTTATTAGTCTATAAGCTATTATGCTTAATTTTATAAAATATCTGCTTCTTCAACTTTTTCCAATGCTCTTAAGGACTCAGCTGTGAATATTAAGAATTGAAATACCTTTTTTCAACATATACTAAGGGTCTTGGGATATTAAAAGAGCCTAATCATAGGATTATACTGCAGCCAAATATTTTTCCATTTTATGGAAGATTTCGCCTAAAAATCTAAAAAATAGTAACCTCTTAAGGCCGGAGCTTCATGCATAGAAGCATCTATTAAGATCGCTTTCTCCAAACAACTAAGTGCTTCTTTGAAAGCCTCTACTTTAAACAATCCAAGTCCTTAAGAATTAATAATATATAACCTTTAGAGTATAGGGCAAGAGAATTATTCTCATTTATTGATAATGCAGCATCTGCAGCCTTAATTGCTTCTTCATACACTTTTAATTCAATTAGACATTGAGCTAATAACATCCATTGTAATATTTACCTTTAAAGGTAAGGGCAACTTGATTTTATGGGTTTATGTTAACTGTTATGTTGTAATTTTCAACAGCTTGATTGAATTTCTCTAATTTCTTTAATGCATTTCCTAAAATGTATTATTTTGATACCCAATAAAAAGTATGAATGCTCACTTTCAGGATCAATTTCAATTGCTCTTTCAAAACATTTGATGGCTTCTTCATATTTCTTCAATACTAGCAAGGTTTATCCTATGAGGAAATATAAAACACAAAAAACCTTTATGGAAAAAGCCATTGAATTCATCTGGGTTGATTTCAGTGGCTATATCGAATAACTCCATTGCTTCTTCGTATCTGTTTAATTGATGTAAAGTCAATCCTAAAAAATAGATTGCCATTCATTTTACCTTTGATAGCCAAGAATTTTGTATCGTCTTGATTTAACTCAATTATCTGATTACAAATCTAGAGAGCTTCCTCCAATTAATTCAATTTAAGTAAGCATTTCCCTAAAATTAAGAAATTCAAGTACATTTTATTTATAAAATTTAAATATTGTCGACAACTGCATTAACATTTGCTTTATTGATAAAGTCTAATGCTTCTTTATATTTTTCTTATTGCAATAATTCAGCACCTTATTTTAGGTAATGATACTTACTTTTCTTTAAAAGCTACTCAGCTTCTATTAAACTCGAATAATATTTTACTTGTTCTGTATCAAGCTATATTTTAGGGGCTGGTTGATTACCATTCCTTAGGTTTAATAATTTTATACTTTTATTATTTATTAAATTCTTATTGTAATGCATATTCGATTGCTTATTTCATTAAACCTTCGTTTCCGCTGCTGCTCAATAAATTCAATAATTATTGAGGATCCATTTGTTATTCTTATTTTTAAGGTTAATATTTTTGTATCTATGATTGAGTGACTGGAGGAGGGTTTGTTTTCTACACTGTTGGATTTTGATTTGGATTTTGATTTGGAGGTTTATACTGTTAATTTTATGGATGTGAACTAGGTTATTAATTGGGTTTTGTTTAGGGAGGAGGAACTTTACCAGATTGCTGAGAATATGATTGTTAGTTTATAGAACTTGATCCTGAATGTGGTTAATATGGTTGTGAATTTATAGAACTTGATCCAGAGGGTGGCTAATATGATTTATTTGTTTGATTTTATTGTTGATACTGATTTGGTTGTTGATACTGATTTGGTTGTTGATATTGATTTGGTTGTGAATATGTCTTTGGTGGATTTGAACCTTATGGGGGTTACGTATGAGAGGATGTATTTTAACCAGCAGAAGGATTCTATGGTTTGGGTTATTAATAACCTGAACCAGAGGAAGGTTGTTAATAATTATAAGCAGAAGGTGGTTGTTGTGTCTAAAATATAAACTAATAGTACTTAAGGTGGTAATCCTCTAGAAGGCACTGCTTAGGTTGCTGGTTTTGCATATTCTTTATTCTCCACAATTTCAATTTCATTTTTTTTCTGAGTCTATACTGGTAATTCAATATTCACTTAGACTTCTTAATCTGCATTCATAAATATTATAATAACCTGTTTTTAATACTTCAACTTTGGCTGGTATCTACTCTTTTGCTATCTCAGATTTGTTTGAGATGCTCTATTTGTCCAATACTTATTTTTATATTTAATGAATACTTTTTGCTTATTCCAAAATTTCAGAGACTCCTAAAGTGAACAATTTAAGTGATTTTAAACCTTAATCTAATTCTTCTAATAACACCTCTAATAATATATAGATGATGTTTATTACATTGTGTATTACATTGTAAATATTGACAATATTATTTAAAAAGTGGTATGTGATCTAAGCATTTTTTGTATTCTTTATCCTTCAAATCTTTCTCTAAAGCCTACAATTTCTCAGCGTCCACATTCTTTTGCTGAGTAATTTGTTCACACAAATTTTATATTTCTTTGATTTTGTTAACTAGCTATTCTTTTTGCTTTTCCTCCAGTACTTTGTTGCTTGCAATTGTTCTCGAAATCTGCTTAAATGTTTTGCATTCATCTTCGTGACTGCTATGTTTATCCCAACAGCATTTTAAGCAAAACTGTGAATTTTCTTTGCATTTACTATTCAGACAGAAACCAAGAATTTCATCTTCATCATGGCCATCATACTAACACACGAAATCGTCATCCATTAATTTTATTAATTGTTTGTATAAATTATATCATTTTTGATTTAATACATAGTATCATAAAATAAAAAATGTAATTCTATTAAGTTAAAAACTATGTCATATTTCTTATTTTCAGAATATTATAAGTAATACAATAGCAATATTTGATACCTTACCTTAGTTTGAATTAATTGGATATATTCTTAAGCTTAAATGATATTTTCTATTATCAATTTTTATTTTATGATCATTAAATTATTTGCTAACAGTCGATAAAAGAAAATTTACAATTATTGTAATTTCTATGTTAATCAAAATATCTCTAATGTGAAAATATTATTTAATTACATAATAAAAATTAAGTTTTTTTTCTATTCACATTCTTATTGATAAATTAATAATAATCGAAAATATTGCATTAGTTTAATTATTCAATTTCAAAAAGTAAATGTATTCAATTTGCCACAAATATTTTAAATTACATAAAGATCTAAATACATTATTAATGTATTTGGAAGAAGGCTAAGATGAAATCTCAGAAATGTGAGTCATTTGTTAGTGTATCAATATCCAAATTTAACTTTTATCGATTTAATTATAATTAAACCTATTCCTCTAACAGAATTATGGGAAGAATTATTATTTGATGTTACAATTTAGCTATACTTTTAATAGGAAAATCAACATGAAATAGAATTAAAAAATGATAGAAAATTAGGTTATATAATATAACACAAAAACTCATTTTCAAAATTCTTAATATTTTCTAATTTGAATTTCCCATGATTTTCTATCCCATGTTGCTAAATATTCCCCATCATTACTAAGTTATCCATTCATTGAACTTGTGCAAAAATCAATTGATTACTCAGTTACAAGATCTCCATTCTAATTTTTTCTTATAAAGTTGATGTTACTAACATTCTTATTGATAAGAACATTTTTTGACTTATTGAACTATTATGGGAATAGATTATAGCAATCATCATTTCCACCTTTTACAGCAACCTCAGTTTTCAATCTATAAATGTTATTATTATCCAATTCAAAAACACTCATATAAGATTGCTTGCATGGTTAAAATGTGAATTGATCATCACTAATAAAACATAGTCGAAATCCCATGTTTTACAATCTAATCCTTTGTATAATATTCCATTAATCTTGTAACTTTGAAGGTCTTTCGAAAACTAGAATTAACTTGTCTTCTCCACATGAAATCACTTTTAATTCGTTTTCATTCATACTAATAGCATTAACATAGTCTTAATGTTCTGAATTAGTCTAAGAGCATATCCAATCAGCATCTTTATTAGGTTTGAGCCAAAATTTTATGGTTTTATCCTTACTTCCTGAAACCATGAGATCATCACTACCATTCAAAATCAAGCATATAATACCTGAGGTATGCCCTTACAATTTTTATTGACAAATCCATTTACAATCTTATTATTATTTCCAAACGAATATTTAATTATCACTACTCCCTGATACAAATTATTAATTGTTATTCCTCATAAAGTTTAGTGTTTAAATTAGATTACTATGACCAGTTAGAATTTAGATTAATTTCAATACTCCCTAATCAAAATCGAATATTTTAATTGTTTTATTGCAGCCAATAACAAGAATTGAACAATCCGCATTGAATGCCAATGCTCCACAAAATTCCTATTACTTGACTGGATTATTTTAATTAATTTATTCATACTTGAATTTCATCATAACCCTCATTCCTTCTTTCACCTAACTTTGTTCTTTCTACTAATACTCTAAGCTCTAGACTTATTTGGATAATTATTAAATTTGATTTATAAGTGCTTAGTTCTGAATCTTTAGTAATTACTCTGATTAATGCTGTTCTAGTAATTAAAGTTATAAATTTGTTATTTTAATGTTTTCTTATAAATTTAATTGTGATTATTTTGACATTTCTCTTTCTTCCTTTAGATCCATTCCTACCTATTGGATTTGTATTGCAACCTCGATATTTTGGCTTTTTGTTAATATTTGGATTTCTCCAAAAGCATTTTAAAGTTCTGACATTGTATTTTAAAAATGGGATAGTAATTCTTTAAGATTATTAAAATCAGAAAAGTATATAGTCTCAATTTGCTAAAATTATCGATTATCTTGCTATTCAACTTCGTTATTAACAATATCTTTCTCCAATTACTTTACTCTTTCATCCATCAAGGTTATGATTTACTATAATATATTTGTAAGCCTTACTTTTAATTGATTGATGTTATTTAGAATATCCTAAAATTTCAATTTCCTACTTTAGTTAGAATTTTTGTTTAGCTAATTTTAAATGTTCATATTACAGTAATAAAATAAATCAAATAAATCTTATTTATATTCATTGTTTTTACCTTGCATTAATAATATTCTATATTTAATTTATAACTACTTTATATGAGAAAAAATGTATGCATTTTACTAAATATTCAATTATTAAACCGATTATAAGAAAAATTAAGGAATTATATTTATAATATTAATACATTATCCTCAAATTTCTACTAATTAATTCTAATCTAAGTATTTCAAAAATTGCTTCTTCAAAGGTTAGATTATAAAAGAGTTTAAAATTGATATATATTTTCTGTTTTTCATTGTTGCAAATTTATTTAATGAATATATGTTTAGTATATTTAATTTCAACAAATATTTAATTACGATAATAAAATAAATTAATATTGTAATGTGCATTTTTAAGTGTAGTAGAGGTTCAGCTCGTTTTTTAATGGATCCATTAAGATATTAACCTTTAAATTGTGAATTATGTCGTAAACTCAAAAAATTAGATAACTTTTAATTTTGTGGAAGGTTATCTATTCTATATGTAAACTTTTAAAAATTTCGATCAGATCTATTGCCCTATTTGGTTGAAATATATTAAAAATCCAACCATATTCAGTGTAGATATTGTAATCAAAAATTCTTTTTGGATCAAAAGGACAATCATCTATTTGTTTCAAAATTTACATGCAGTCATGAAGAAATACGTTAAATTAAATAATGCCCATTTTGTAAAATATTAAATTAGAGGAAATCCTACTAAGAATGTAAAAAATGTAAACTAGATCTCTTATTTTTTAATAAATACAGAGAAGTGCAATGCCCATGCTGTAAAATCGTATATTGTGAAATGTGTAAAAAAGAAAAACAATTGTTCTAGCAAAAGTTCTGTAATTGTAGAATTATTAAATACTCGAAGGATGTTATCCTATTTTAATTCTTAGTTATTGCTCTAATTTTCCTTATAATTTTGGTTTTAATAGGCTCTAATTACCTGGAAGATTCCGAATTTTATTAATCTATTAAATGTACTATTAAGGATGGATATTCAAATGTTAATTGTACATTAGAATAATTATTTTATGATACATTTAAATAATTCATATTGTTTATTGGAATAACTTTTTTAATTAGTCCTGGCGTTGCTTTAGTGGAGATCATTAATTTGTTATTTAAAGCATAACGACGGCTCTCAAAAGCTTAAATGAGAAGATTTTGATGAGATATTGATGAATTAATTCTGAATAATTATTTTCAAAAAAATTGAATATCATAAACAAGCAGATGATAAAAAAATTTTTCATTCTTTGACAACATATATTATTATTGAAAATTCATCTTAATTGAACTTATTTCAAAATATTCATATTTATATTAATTTAGTATTCTAAGATTTGACAAAGAATACATTCTATATATTATATCAATCCTGAATAACTAAATAAATTTTTTGATCGTTATGAAGATTGAAAACTAATTGATTCAAAAATTCTAATACATTATATTCTAAATGGAATTTAAAGCCTCTATGATAGCTTTAAATTACTAAATTTTTATTTCCTATATTTATCATTAATATTGAATTAATATTAAGATCAAAAATTATCTATGTAGATTACAGCATTTAACTTAACTTATTAACCTTTATCAAAGTTCAAATATTTCATCATAAAGAAATTTGAATTCTGTTTATGTGCTTTGTGATGACAATTAATCGAATTTTGGTGTATAACCGATTTGTATGAATTTAATAGTAATCGTATGTCCTGTAACCTTTTGATTTTAAAATCAAATTATCAATTTTCTTTTATCATTTAAGTATCGATGCATTGTATTAGACTAAGAAAGAGACATTAATGTCAATTTATGAATTTAATTAGTTTTATTATTATAGAATTAAGTATAAATATTTGCTTTATCCAACGATGGCGGCTTTTCCGGATAATAGTTGTTCTAAGTATAAATTAATACAATTAGAATAATTACTTACAAAGATTTGAATGTGCAAATAATAAATAATGGAAAATCTGTATAATTAGTGAAAGGAAATTAAGAATTAAAAGTTATATTAAACGAGTCAGATGCATCATAAGTAACAAAAAATACAAAATTATTAAGGAAAATTAAAAACATATTACGCTTAATCCAGATGATGTTATTTTGGAACCTCAATACCATCTCAAATATATATGTGACTCTTAGCAAAATACAAATACAAAGGTGCTATTTTTCAAAAACCATTAAGGAATAGCTATCAAATGGAGTACAGGATTACAATCTAAATTTACATTTACAATTGATGAATGATGAATGAAAGATGATTAAGAAATATATATAATTTTGGCTAAATTCATCAAAGTATTAATCTATCGCAATTCATGTATTATAATATTTAATTATGTTTCAATTTAATTGTTAAGATTGACTATCTAACTAATACAGCATAGAATCAAAAGTTCATGATGATAAATATAGTCTATATTTTAGAGCTATAATCCAAAAGTAATCATTTTCGAGATGAATTTCAATTCACTACTGATTACAATGTTATTATCTTGGATGATTATATTGAAATAATGTCAAATTAATATGAGAGAGTGTTTATTTTTATTTCAGATTATCATATTGTAATGATTAATGACAAATCAGAACGTAATAAATATATTCTACCAAACACAAATAAAAAAATAAACTATTCTTTCTAGATAAATAATAAGAATTTACTGCAAAAAAGGAGAATTTAAATGATTGTGTGGGATATCATATATTGTAATGAAGAAATAATAAGAAGTATTTCAACAGCTATAATCTCAATAAATTATAAATAATTATTATTATGCATTCAAATCAAGAAATCAATAACTCAGAAAAATCAGAAACATCAACACTTGGTTATAACTGCTTGTAGTATCAAAAATTATCTGTTTTGGACAGTTTGAAGTTAAGAAATACTTTATCAATATTGAAAGATCATTAGGATATGTTTTAGATTAGAGAAAGAGCTCCATATCATTTTTCAACCATTATTAAATAATACTAAAATAATAAAAAAGAAGTTTAGGATGGGTTTGCTGGTTCTGGTGGTTATGGATATGTTTTGTATGCTGAACACATTCACAGTTAACCTTGCGTCGTAAAAGTTTAAAAAATAGATGATTTTGAAGAGTTTTTATAACAATTGAATGAATATAAAATTTAGCAGAAATTAAACAAGGTGTTTCCTTTGCATTTTGTTTAGTTGATTGATAAAGTCACTATTTTATAAGAAAACATTAATAATTTTTCCTCTTATGCTGGGTTAGAAATTGCAATAACAACTTTGGATGCGTATTCAAAACAAGTTAATATAGAAAATGAAGAATATCAAAGCATTTACCATAAAATTTTGAGATCAATAATTAATATGCATTCCTTAAAGATAGCACATAGAGATATTAAACCTTCTAATATTATGTATAGTAATAAAAACGGATGGGTTATCGGAGATTTTGGATGTGCTCTAAAATATAACAATTTAGTTGGTGTTTTTTAAATTGAAGGGACTACTCAATATTTACCGAAAAAATATCGGATAATGTTATAAAACAAAAGTTTTAGCAAATCAAAAATGAATCTATTTGAAAACGATATATATGCTTTTGTTTTAACAATGCTAAAAATTAAAATGAAGGACTGTACTATCTATCAGTTATAACAAATGTTGGATGATTAAAATATGTACAATCAGCTGCCTTAAGAATTGCAAATCCTCACACTAAGTTAATTTTAATTATCTTAAAATTTAAAAAGAAGTGTTATTAAAGTACCAATTTAGAAAGTATTTTATGATGAGAGATTTTACTAAATTAAAAATACATTAGAATAATTCAAGAAGAAATAGGAAAACATTCTTTCCATTATCTATAATATCTTTCATTTTCGATAAAGAATTTTAAATTAAAATTTATAAATCAAGAATGATGCCTAAAAGTATGATGATTTGAAAATTTATATTGAATTAATAGACTCAAACTTTACTAGTAAAGATAGTACTTAAATACCTCCAATTACATCAGAAACAACCTTTGAATAATATCAAATAATTTCTGAATATTGGTTTAGGTTAGGCAATATTAATCAATAATTAGTGATCTGTTAATAATATTAAAAGTATACAGCAAAGCATTTATTTTAAGCAAAACTCCAAGAACTATCAATTTACATGTTTTAAGAAGATTATCAAAAGGCAGATCAATTAATTATCTAATTATCAGATGATGAGCCGAATATGGATGATATCACTTTCATCTAGCTTTAAATTATCAAAGCCATCAGGGAAAGAATATGGTTAGAAGTAGCAGATCAATTTTAATAATGGATTTATGATGATAACAGGTATGTAGATTACAAAGAAAACTGGATGTTTTTAATGCTTGGAAATTTTTCTTGGATATACTAAACCTCAATTATTAAGCATCATCGTACTCCATAGAATTATAAATTTATCTAGCAGGAAAGCTAAATATTCTCTACAAACTCAATAGTTTTACCTAGATGGATTGAGTTATGTAATTGGAAAGGTTTAGACCATTAAAATAGCGTTTAAGATATGATAAAGTAATTAATATAAAGGGGAACTGATAGTTATGGAGTTAAGGTATTCATTTAACAATTAATTAAACGCATCGATATGAATAATGAAAAACAGATAATAATAAATCTATTTGAAACAGCTATTTTATTTTATGAGAATCATTTTCACAATTCAAGTTTCTTTTGGGAAATTTATTTTCATTTTTCATAATATTGTTATTCTATTAGAGATTTCTAAAAATCTATGGAATATGCATTGATAGCTTTAAAATTGGTTGATGTTGATAATTTATATTATTATATTTAGATAGAATTAATGATAATATGTATTTTAACAGTATAAAATAAATTTGATGAATCAAAAAACAGAATTTCAAAAATTTGGTAATTTATAGCCGAAATAAAGTCATAAGCATCAAGATCTACATTAATATCAAAACTTCATTCAAATTTTACAATATTTTTTAGGAATAATTAGATTGAAAATTTAGAATTAATTTCTAATGACTTATCTAATTATGTTGAATAAGAATAAGTTAGTTCAATCATTATTTAATGCCAAACAATTCTATCTGATTTAGCATTTTTTATTAAAAATAGAAAAAAATTGAATAAAACCTATCAGTCATGGGTAGCATTTTGTAAAAATACGTAGGAGTTTGACCCTTAAATATTTTAACTATTCTATAAATATATTTATGTTTAACAAGTACTGATGAATAGTGAGGAAGAAATAAAATAATATCTTTAAGATTTGGGTAAATACATTTAAAATTCGATTGTGTACGATGAAATTNAAAGATAGTACTTAAATACCTCCAATTACATCAGAAACAACCTTTGAATAATATCAAATAATTTCTGAATATTGGTTTAGGTTAGGCAATATTAATCAATAATTAGTGATCTGTTAATAATATTAAAAGTATACAGCAAAGCATTTATTTTAAGCAAAACTCCAAGAACTATCAATTTACATGTTTTAAGAAGATTATCAAAAGGCAGATCAATTAATTATCTAATTATCAGATGATGAGCCGAATATGGATGATATCACTTTCATCTAGCTTTAAATTATCAAAGCCATCAGGGAAAGAATATGGTTAGAAGTAGCAGATCAATTTTAATAATGGATTTATGATGATAACAGGTATGTAGATTACAAAGAAAACTGGATGTTTTTAATGCTTGGAAATTTTTCTTGGATATACTAAACCTCAATTATTAAGCATCATCGTACTCCATAGAATTATAAATTTATCTAGCAGGAAAGCTAAATATTCTCTACAAACTCAATAGTTTTACCTAGATGGATTGAGTTATGTAATTGGAAAGGTTTAGACCATTAAAATAGCGTTTAAGATATGATAAAGTAATTAATATAAAGGGGAACTGATAGTTATGGAGTTAAGGTATTCATTTAACAATTAATTAAACGCATCGATATGAATAATGAAAAACAGATAATAATAAATCTATTTGAAACAGCTATTTTATTTTATGAGAATCATTTTCACAATTCAAGTTTCTTTTGGGAAATTTATTTTCATTTTTCATAATATTGTTATTCTATTAGAGATTTCTAAAAATCTATGGAATATGCATTGATAGCTTTAAAATTGGTTGATGTTGATAATTTATATTATTATATTTAGATAGAATTAATGATAATATGTATTTTAACAGTATAAAATAAATTTGATGAATCAAAAAACAGAATTTCAAAAATTTGGTAATTTATAGCCGAAATAAAGTCATAAGCATCAAGATCTACATTAATATCAAAACTTCATTCAAATTTTACAATATTTTTTAGGAATAATTAGATTGAAAATTTAGAATTAATTTCTAATGACTTATCTAATTATGTTGAATAAGAATAAGTTAGTTCAATCATTATTTAATGCCAAACAATTCTATCTGATTTAGCATTTTTTATTAAAAATAGAAAAAAATTGAATAAAACCTATCAGTCATGGGTAGCATTTTGTAAAAATACGTAGGAGTTTGACCCTTAAATATTTTAACTATTCTATAAATATATTTATGTTTAACAAGTACTGATGAATAGTGAGGAAGAAATAAAATAATATCTTTAAGATTTGGGTAAATACATTTAAAATTCGATTGTGTACGATGAAATTATTGGATTATAAGGATGGGAAGTACTACGTATCTAACACAGTTAATGGTAGTATCTATAAGGGGCTTAACAGTTAGATGATGAAAGATTATTCAGATAAATGGCAATCTAATAAAAATAATATTTTTAACTAAATTATTATCATGATATGGATGAGATTTAGGATTTAAATAATATCTAAATAAATTATACGTCATGATGAACAAATTATTATATTAATTAGATTATTTAAAATAAAATTATTAAATTCTATTTATGTTATAGAAAACAACTTAAAGGCAAACTTAGACTTTTTCACATCAAAAGATCAGTGATAATATTTTACAAATTTAAATGATTCAAAAAGGGTTATGAAGTTGTTAATTATCAAAATTGTATTATTTTTTGAATAAGTATTTATTTGATATCACTTCCAAATTATACAATTAGAAATCTTAAAATTTAAAAGTTATGTATTAAAAAATTTAAGTGCCAACAAAAAATCAGAGATGTTCTACAAATGCTTTGATTGTTGCAAGATCTACTTACCATGCTTTTTTAGAGAGTTTTTAATATCTGAAATTCATATATTTTAAATGAAAATATTATATAGCTTATGTCTTTTATGAGTTACTTATTCTAAAACAAACAAAAATTGTGATTGCAGTGATATAGAACTTAAGTACATTTAAATATTCTTTTTAAGTTTTATCTTACATAAATTTTGAATACTAACTCAATGTATCATAAACATTTTCCAGTTTAATAGTAGTTTGAAAATAATCAATTAGGTTTTAATTAATATTATGAATACTAGATTGTATTGTGTTTCAAAGTATGAATAATTTGTAATTATTGCTTTTGAATTGATAAAGAAGGATTAAAGAAATAAAAACTTATACAGTAGATCTGGTAGAGAATTAAGAAATATAGGTGAAGTATTAAAAATTACCTTTTGAAGAATTATTTTAAATTAAAATTGATTTTTAATCCTTTTAAAGTTCTTTTAATAAAACTAAGAAAATTCATAGATTAATAAGGAGGTGTTTAGAAGTTATAACAACTGATAATTTTGTTTTGAGTTCTTTAACAGGTAAAATCTTAAAGCAGAAATTTAATTCTCAAAATAGTTATAATTTAAAAAGATCAACTTCACTTTTAGAGTAATCTATTAAATAAGATGCATATTTAGAGGGATCTCTTAGGTTAGAATAGGATATTTCAACATTTTTCCTTATTCTCTTTTAGGATTAGGAATGTTGAGAATATCTTAATAGAATTGTGATATAACATACAGAGTCAATATCTTCTTGATTATTATTATTACAGGCTAATTACTTCAACAATTAATGATTAAATATTATATGATTTAATCAAAATTTAAACTTGTTGTTCATACTTTTAAGCTTAGTTAGTGAGAAATTGTACTTGTATATCTCAAGAGGTTATATTAAAATGCTGCAGTTACACAAAAATGTTGCGATAACATATTTAATGGCATATAAAATCTATACTTAAAAATGTTTGAATAATCAATGCTATAGTCCTTTAAATTTACAATTTTGAGGAATTAACAAATTCAGCTTTGTTATATTTTTGAATTTTTGAGCTGTTGCAAGTAAGGTCTTACAAGAGTAGTTAATTAGGTACAAGAATTAATTAAAGCATAATCTCTATGTTAATCTCAAATATTAAGTCAAGTAAACTTGTGTTCACAAATTATTAATTAAATCTGTATTAGTCTCTTTAACTAGAAAGACTCAATTTTAATAATGAATTATTCCCACAAGCTACTGATGAAAATGTTTCTTCTGTTAAGTACTTTTTGATAAGGAAGTCATTTAATACATGCGAATGTTAAATCAATACTCAGATATCTATTAATACCTTAAAATTTTTAGTCTTATGAAAGTTTATCTGCTCAAGTTTAAAATTGTGAAAATCCATTCCATTTTAATTGTTCGAAAACATAAATCCTTTAAGCCAGAGATGATCAAAAACTCCAGCAAATAGTTTAATGTAATGTAACAAATTCTTATAAGTTGCACAAATAACTAATAAAAAACATTTATACTCTATTCAATATTTAGGAGTTTCTATTTGAGGAATTTATTCATTTTATTATTTCATAATTCTATCTTAAATTTTATGCAATTAAAGTTCTGATTGTTGAATGACTTATTTTCTTTTATAAAAGGACCAACATCTTTAATTTAAAAAAATTATTGATTTGTTGAGAATTCTCTACTAGGAGAAGGAGATTAGCATAATTGAAACTTCAAATTAGGGTGAGATTGAATTAATAATTCAATTTTTTCAATTAATTAAAACTCATTTGTGAGATTACTAAGTCCTAACTTTGTGTTAGCTACACCATCATCTGCAGCATTACCGTTACCAAAATTAATACATTAATTAATCATAATTAGTACCTAATGACATTTAAAAAAATAAAGGATTTTTTCAGGCAAAAAATGTTGAATATTTTGACTAATAATTTTATCTCATTTTTGAACTGGATTACCTAACTCCAGGCTAGTAGCAAAATTGCAAATTTCCATAATAATTGAAGTCTAATTTTAACGGTTATCCATGTGGATTATCTGCTTCAAAAAAAGTGTCCAAACGATTCACCTATTAAGAGTCCCTTCCCTTTATAACATTCTAAAAAGCGAGAAATCAATATGAAATGGATTAATTATTTGAAATAGCCACGGAAGAAACTACTTAAATAAATATAAGAAAATCCAAATAATGTAAATATTAGAAATTTGAGAATGTTTTTTATATTGATATTATTATTAAAATTTCTAGATAAAGGTCAAAGATAGATTCATATTTTTCATAAGTTTGTGTTTTAATTGTTATTTTAGAATATTTGAAAGATTAATATTCTTAAATCAATGATCAAGTCATTGAAAACAAGATAAAGGAAAAATATCAAAAAGTAAACTTGAAAATATTGAATACTTATAAATAAACACGATAGAAAATTAAAATTGAATTAATAACAAAGAATTTATTATATTTATTATTACAATCAATATTTTATGTCTAGAATTGATTTTATTTAAACAGTAGCATATTTACCAATTAAATCAGATAGATGCTAGACTTTATTGACTTCAACATCTGTTAGATCTTCTTTAATCTAAGTTTCAATTGAATTGTTATTGAAATTAAGCTTATCAACTGGAATTTGAATTATATTCGAATTTCCTTGTTGATTGAATGATTAATTAGGTGATTAAGTCAAGAATTAGTCCATCTTTGAAGATAAAGAGGTAGTTTATAACATATTAATAAATAACCCCTTAATGGACTGATAATCTGGTATTTCATCATATTTTAGTTCATCAATGTGGGACATCAATTTCGAAAATTCTATTGGAAATTTCTTTGATAATGTCATCGTGTTAAATAGGGAGGTTTTTATGCGCCCAATTTAGAGGATATCCAAATCCTTAGATTTCATGGAAGATTTTTCAGACCATGGTAATTTGCCTAGAGCTATTAAGAATGAATACCATTTCTCAAATAGACTAATACATAAAATAAGCTCTCCATATCATCTTTATAGCCTAATTATTCTCCTCTATGTGATGCTCTGCTAGCAAAGTTTAAGGATCCAACAAATACATTTTGTAGGAATTTTGAATTTCCTATAAATTAAGACAAACCAAAATCGATTAGTTGGATAAATCCAGGCGTTAGAATTTATCCCTTTAAATCTTTTAACACTTGTTATTATATCATGATATTATCTGGTTTAATATCTAGATGTAAGATTTTTTTTCGATGAATTTATTCTAATGTTTTAATAACACTTAATCCGATAGCCAATATGCAAGGCAAAGACAATTGTGAAGTTTTCGCTAAATCTCTTAGGCTACAATTTAGTTAAGGCATTATCAGAAATCTCCTAAATTTATTAAATAACTCATACCTATTATCTGGGGTTTTTCCTTGGTCCACCAAACGAGGGATTCCTTCTATATCATTTAGTTCTTTGAGGATTTTAATCTCGCCTTCTATTTGACCTTATTATGAAAATTTTTCAATTTTAAGTGCAAATACTTTTTAAGTGAGATTATGCCTTGCTTTAAACACTTCATGTGCTGAGCCTTATCCAATCATGGATACTATTTGATATTAGGAAGCTTGAAGATACATATCAGAACTATTTTTTATTATTGAATAAATAAGAACAAAGTTCTTATTAAACATATAATAAAGGAGCTTAGGATTGTTTTGAAATCTATAAATTTTGACGTCAACAATTATTTTGTTCTTCTTTTAACTGAAATCTATTATTATTTAGTTATATGATATTATCCGTAAGTATTCTAGCCTTAGAGCAAGAAGCAGTTTTATCATATATTTTTAATCAATTTACGTATATTCCATTTTCTCCTATTAAAATGTAAACAATTCCAAATTCCAATTTCTATTGGAATCAATAAAAGACGAGAATTCATCTGATATCTAGTTATAAAGAAATTGGTTGAACTTCTGTTAATAAGACAAACAATAGTACAATCAAAACTGAATAATAATTTCTTTAGTTATAATATGTTATGAATAATGTATTTTGCATTCAAAGTGCTCTAATTTTGAATAAATGGCCATTCTAATCGCAAATATTATTTTTGGCTCAAATTGATATATAAGTTTACAAGGCAAATATTCAAGTAATTGAAATGTTTTATAAAATACAACTTATAAAAATACTCATCTAATTTCAGAAAAATATTTTTGATAAAGTATGGTATCAAAAAACTTTATAAGGACTCTAATTTTAAGGATTTATATTATTGAATCGATAAAGTATTTAGGATGATTTTAATTAAATAAACATTTTTTAGTTATTAATTTGTAGTGAATTCTTTAATTATAAGAACTTTATATTTCTTAATTATTTTTAATAATTATCGGATTAAGGAATTATCTAAAATGATCAAGTGTGATTCTACATAAATTTATAAATACACAACCATTTTGATATATATTTAATCCTTAAATTATTTCGATATCTAGAACAAATTAACATTACAAAAACTAATATATTTCATTAAGTTTATGATATTGAATTAGCTTTAGTAATTCTTAAAAAAGGCTGTTAAATTGTATTCAAAAGAAAGAATATTGAATACTTAATTATGACATTAATTTAATGAAAATTCTTTTAAAATAATAAGACTTAATAATTAAAGAGATTCTTATGTGAATGTAATTAATTTTCATAGTCAAAAACTAATTTTTTCAATTTTGATAATGACAATATTAAAATTATTACAAAATTTCAACAATTAGAGTAGTAATCTAACATGGCATCAAATCCATACAATATGGAATTGATAATAATTAAGGCTAAAATTGAAATTACATTGATAGACACTTAAATAATGTCAACAATTAAAATAATATACCCAACTTTGAATCTGTTCATAAAAATATATGAAGGCTTGCTTATCATTATCACACCTAAAATCTATATAGTAATGCAATAATTACTCCTAAAATGAAAAACACAATCATTTGCTCATCACTTATAGTTTTTTACAATATGAATTAGATTAGACTGTTTATAGAAATCATAAATGATCCAAAAGCAGCAGTAGCAGCTGCTTCTCTTGCAATTATTTTTTATGATAATAAAAAAGTTACCATAATTAATCCCCCTCCCATACCCAAAAATCCGGTAATGAATCCAGCCAAGAAACCTCCCATATAATAGAAAAAGAATTATCTTTTATCCTTAAAGAATCTTTAACTTGGTCTATATTACACTATATCCTTATAATATTCTTCATTTCTTTTACTCCAATATACAAAAAATGTGTAAGTAAGGTTGATTCCGATAATTGCTAATAGAATGAGATTATTTTCAAGAGTGCATTTATCTAAGCCAATTATGGAATTATTATATTTATTAGATCTCATAAGGATAATTGTTTAGTTAACAAAAAAGGATCCAAAAATAAAACATAAATTCTTAATCTAAAATTTGCTATGATCATTTATATAAAATTTCTAATATTAAGTTAGCTGCTTTTCATCAAAATTCGTTTCAGAAGCCATATCTTCCTAGGTCTTGATTTTTTGATTGACCAATATGACATTTTCTCTCTTATCCTATTCTATCCTTTTCTATAAATATGCTATTATAAATAACATTTTATTACTGTATTTCCACAAAAATGGTATTGCACCTATTAGAAAGCACAATTATATTATATATACAGCAAATTTTGGTGATCTGGTTTGTAGAAATGCGCCAGCACTCCATGCCAAAGGAATTGTTTAATTTAAGATTATGCTTATATCAAAATTTATTAATGGTAAATTATGATGATCAGGATGCCTATTATTTTTTATCTCTGATTTACTTTTCAAAAAAAAGAAATAGTGAATTCAATGTTGATGTTGTGAATAAGAAGCAATCTGCTACTTGAGTTGAAATGCTTGATGGATAATTCAATAATAGGTTTAAAATAGGCCTCTTAATCATTCCACTTCCTAAACCACCCATAATACTCGTTCCCAAAAAAATAGGAATCAAGAAATAAACAAACCCTGTATAAAGAGACAATTCTAAAATAGGGTCATGGACACATGAGTAACTTATTTCATCAATCTCACAAGTACTCAAAAGCCAACACCCTTTATCTGGATCACATTCTTAATTATTCATTTATTTAAAATATGTACTTTATTTTATTCATATTAGATATCTGAAATTTTCTGAGTTTTTCAGAAAATTAAATTATAAAGATGCAAGATGTATGTTTGCACCTAACTAATTTTTAAGACGTAATTCAATCAAAACTTATCAAATAGAATCAAAAGAAGAAAATCAAATTTTATAATAAATTTGAAACAGCAATTATGATGATCGCCAGAACGGATATTTTTAATTCCCAACATTTTAATTTGTTTGAGATTTTATCTTAAAAATTAGATCATTAAAATAATACATAATAATATATTGTATTTATCTTTGTTAATAAATATTCAAGCTGCTGCATATTCTTCTTGGTTTTCTTCTATTATTTCCGAATCTACATCCTCATAATCCTTTTATAGGCTTGCTATTACTTCTCTCGCTTCTACGAATTACGCTTCCTCCATACCTTCTTTTACATACCAGTGCATAAAGGCTCTTTTTGCAAACATTTAATCATATTTTTGGCTTAAATTTGAAAAGATTTGAGACATAGCAGTTGTATTTGCAATCATACACGCGGATCTTGAAGCTTTACATAAATCTTCTTCTGGCAAGGTTTATTGAGCTTGGTAGTTTATTCCTACCTTAAAGCCAGTTGGACACCAATCAACAAATTTAATGGTTTTTTGAGTTTTTATTTAAGCAATCGAACAACATATATCTTTAGGAATGATATCTCCTCTATATAATAAAGAGCATGACATAAATTTCCCCTGTCTTGGATCGCATTTTGCCATCATATTTTCTGCCTCAAAAGCAAGTTTTGTAATTTCAGCAGTTGAAAGCCTTACGTTATCCAATTTTTAATGAGGTGTTATAGGAGCATAAGAGCAAACCAAAAATTATAATTTGGGATAGGGAACCAGACTTGTTTAAATTTCTGTTATGTCAGTAAAAAGGGCTCCATCAAATCTCATTGAAGCTGTTATTGATGAAATCGCTTAGGCTATTATTCTATTTAAATTAGAATATTTTGGTGTTTCAACGCCAAGTCCGTTCTTGCAAATATCGTAAAGTGCTTGGTTATCCATAATGATACTAACATCAGAATGTTCTAATAAAGATGAAGTGGCAAAAATTGAATTATATGGTTCAACCATAGCAACTGAAGTTTCTGGGGATGGAAAAAAGTTAATGTTCAATTTTGATTTTTTACAATAATCAACTGATAATTTTTCTAATAGCAAAGATCCTAAGCCTGAACCAGTACCTCCACCTACTGAATTAAGCATCATAAATCCTTGAAATGAAGAACAATTATCAACAATTTTTCTGATTCTCTCTAAACATATATCAATATATTCTCTGCCAATCGAATAATGACCTCTTCCAAAATTATGAGCAGCACCTCCTTTTCCACTAATAAATTATTCTGGGTTAAACATTTCCTTAAATTTACCAACTTTCACTTAATCTATTAATGTAGGTTCTAAATCCAAAAATACAGTTCTTGGAACTAGTTTCTAATGATCAGATTCTGAAAAAAATGTTCTTAATGCATCATCTTTTTCTATAACTTGTTGATTGATCATCTATCCATTAAGCTAAATCTAATGTTCCAAACTAAATAATTCCCAACATGCATTTCCAACCTATATGCCTCCCTATCCGACTTAAATTGTAATGATTTCTCTCATTTTTAAAGTGTCTTTCGATGTAAACTCTTTAAATAATAATTCTCCGTCATGTTTTATCTAATTTATATGCTGAAATTACTAAGGGGGTTGGTTATTTTATAAAAGAAATATATTTTATAATTAAAATATTATTATTATTTAAAATTTATCTAATAGAAATTGTAAAACTAATATTACAAAAATCAAACTTTTGGAGCTTTAGACAAAATTTTGATCAAAATTCTCTTTGATATCATTGAGTAAGATTTTATTTGCTTTTTAAAATGAATTCGGTCCTTTAATTTCTTGAAAATTTGCTAAAACCTAGGTCTATTACAAAAATATTTGGATGATCTTTACTCTTAATTACTAGAATTCATAAAATAATATCACAACTACATTTTTAATAAATTTTTCAAAAGACACAAATAAATTATAAAAACAAAATATAAAGAATGTGCATTATATCAATATATATTTTTGTTTTTCGTGAATTTGGTACTACAAAAGACCTTAATTATGATAGATTTTGAATTGAAATTCTAATAGAATATTTTTAGAAATAAAATTTAAATAAAAAAACTCTATGATGCCAACACAAAAATATATCTATCAAAAAATCTATTTTTGCATTCTATTTATCATATTAAGCACACTCTTCATTTTGTTACTTTTGTATAATATTTGACATATGCAATTTTTCTCTTTTATTTTGTATTATTTATTTAACTATGAATAAAGCTGATGAATTAATGATTCAATGTTGGAATCCTGATCACAAAGGTTGTGTTTAATAAGTTTGTTTTAATCTTTTTTGCTAAAAAAGAAGACTATAGTGTTTATAATGCATCAAAAATCAATAACACTCATCACACCTTTCGGATCAACATCAGATTAAAGACATGATGGATTATATATAATAGGTTCAACTTAAATGTGATGAAATTGTTTCTATGCTTAGTTCATATGCTCGCCTTATTGAAGATGAATTCACTAAATTGAAATAAGGTATACTCCAGAAATATTAAATGCCAATTAACAGATTAATGTAATTAAACAATTCATAAATCAATATTGCTTTTGATACTATGCTCAAATTTTAAGAATCCACAAAAGAAATAAAATTTAATATCGAAAAATAGAGTAATGAATTCATAAAGGAATTAAAAAAAAAATAAACAGAGTTAAAATTAGAAGAATTAAACTAACTTTATGAAGCCGAATAATTATATTAATAAGGTATTCAAATTAAGCATTTAAGGTGACAACCTACGAAAATCTAATAAATGTAATGAAGCTCTCCAATTGTTAGATAAATCAATAGCTATAAATCCAAATAATCTACTAGCATTAGACTGCAAATGTATTAATCATTAAAAATTTTAGCTAGTTGTTTAAGAAAGCTTAGTTAATTCAAGGAAGCGATAATTTGGGCTGACAAAGCTTTGTTATTAGATCCAAAGCATTCACATTCAATATATATTAAAGGTTTAAATGAAAATTATTTTAGCTCGATGTTTATATTGTCAACAGAATTACGCTGAAGCAATTTAATGGACTGATGAAGGATTAGCAATAGATCCTGAATACAAGAACTTTAATGATACTAAAGGTCCTTAATATCAGATATTTTAGTGAATTGTTTAATCTCAATTGAAAAATACAATGAAGCAATGGTTATAATCGATAAAGTTTTATCCATCAAAGCAGAAGATGCAAAGTTTTTAAAATTAAAGGTTAGTTAGATTAACTCATTTTAGGGCTAATCATTAATGAACTTAAAAAAATATGATGAAGCACTCTCTTTTTGTGACAAGGCATTAAAATACGATAGTAGTGATGAAATGATTTACTTTATAAAAGGTACATTTTCAATGAAAAATTAGCTGAATGCTTAAAAAATTAAAAAAAATATGAATAAGCAATTGTATGTTATAATAAAGCTTTGTAAATTTATCCACAAGATTAATCAATAATAAATAAGAAAGGTATTTTATTAAATTAAGAGAAGCTGAATGTTAAAATCTTTTTCAAAAAAAAGATAAATGAGAGTTAAATTATATTTTTAAGAATAATTTTTTTTTTATTTTTATTTTAATTTAATTTACATTTGATTTTATAATGACTGGAAAATTTATACAGAATAGATACATAAAAGTTAATGAGTATTAAAATTTGCTTAGAATATGTTAAACTTGATTACTCATCACATTCTACTTATTTAGTTTCTTTATCTCGTTCAATTGAAATAAATCATCAGATATAATTGTATACTTATAGAAAATACATAATTATAAGTATTTTTTTATGAAATAAATAAATCAAGCTCAATGTTCACATGATAATCTAAAAGAATACGTTCTTTTGGATTCTTTACTAAGTATGGAAGAAAGATTGATTTGTGAAACCTGTCTAAAACAAAAATAACTGACTTCTTAACAATTCATTTCATATTCATCAGGCATCGACTAAGCAAAGGATTACAGTAAGTAAATAAAAAGAAATTTGGAGCCTTACCTGAATGAGATAGAAGGAAAGTTCTAATTAATTTAAAAAGATATTGATCAATAAAAGAGTCATTTGAATCATCTTCTTGAGTATATTCTCAAAGATATAAATTAATGGCATTAAGCATAAATACAAACAATTAATCTTCATAACAATGCTGAAGACTTCTTAAAAATGATCGAAAATATAAAAAGGAATGATGAGGATTGGTTACAAGATTATGAATTAAAAATAACCTATCAAATTTAGTAATTAGCATATAATTACTACCATAAAATTGATAAACATATAAAATAATACACTGATTAGTCAATGAATTTTAAAATAGCTGACAAAGTGATCGATGTGGCTAGAATAAGCTAGGAGATGTGTTGGAATGCTTATACTTTGACCTCAAAATTCAAAAAAAAATAATTAGAAGTATATTTTTCTTTATAAAATTCAGGAAAAATTTCAATTAATTGAATGCCTTGAACATAAAAGAAAAGCAAACAAAATAAATATCGAAAAGAATGTTCCAAAAAATTAAAGAATTTTATGCAAAGAATGTTTATAAAATGGAATCAGCATAATTGAATTCATAAAAACATGGGACAAAATTTAACTTGAGAAAATAAACGAATAATAAAATGCCTAGAAATATATGCAAGAATGCTATACAAAGTCCCTTTTTTAATTAGAGTAGTTGAGAAATGCTTAATACAAAAATTTAACTAACATGATCGATTCAGTCTATCTTAAAATTGTAGATGGATCAAAGTGTTTCTAACAAATATATTTACAATCACACGATTTTAGTATTAATAAGTATCAGGAAATGGCTGAAATGTGTTGTAAAGAATAGGAAAAATGCGAACTTCAAACATCATAATTTCGATTACATTTGTATTAGCAAGGAAAGACTATGGTTTAAGATGTTAAATAAATTCTTATCTATTCTTGGTATTCAAATGGACCTGAATTACAACTAACTAAAAATCGAATTAAAGAGGAAGAAATTAATAATAAATAAAGTTAGTTAGAATAGAATTACAGATTACCTAATAAATTTAAAATTTAACCAATGTTAACATACTAAGAAGTTAATAAATAAGAAATATATGCAATAGTATTTAATAGAAACGGATCCTTATTATTAACAGGAGGAAACGATTAGATATAGGTTTTTATATTCGAAGAAGGAGAATTAACAGCCATTAGAAAAATGCATTGCCAAAGAAGTGTTAGTGTGTTATAATTTTTTTAGCAAACAAATGATTTTATTTCTGGGCATAGCGATGGAAGTCTTTGTATCTGGAATTATTGTAACCAAATCTATTATAAAGAGAAAATTTATGAAAATATCCATTCAGAAAGTGTAAGATTCTTAATCATAAACGAGAAATAAAATGAATTGATATCAATTGCTGATGATTCTATTATTCAAGTGAATTTTTTAGGTTGCGATATCAAACTTAAATAATCCTTAGTCAAGCATGAAAAAACAGTGATTTCAATTAGTTTGAATCCTTCTGAGACTATTTTATTATCTTGTAGTGAAGATGGTTAATTAATTATATGGAAAAAAAATGAATATGATGAATGGGTATTTAATAATTTTATTCATCATTCAGTTAGATAATACGGAAACAAAATTGTTTTCATTAAGGATGATTAATTCATTTGGACGTAATTTAGTGAAAGTAAAATTATTATATTTGAGGAAGCAAATTAAACATTTATCTAAAAATCTCAAAAAAGCATAATAAATGAGAGGAAGTCAAATGTTAAATTTCCATTCATTTATAGCACATAATTTAACTTAATTATTTGTAATCATGGGTAAACCATAGAATTGGCACAACTTAAATCAGATGGATTATTTTAAATTGTGTCACGTTGTGAACATAAACCCAAAGGTTAATAGAGAGGAGCTGTTACAAATGACTCTAAGTATCTTGTCATTTGGAATTAAAAACAGTTTGAATTTACAATATTTAAATTATATTCATGATAATATCAATAATAAATGTATTTGTTTAAAGATTGAAACAATTCACACCATTTAATTACAAGGTTGGTAACTTATAATTTTTTGGCCATAGATTTTTCTTAAATTTTCACTTGAATAGGATTTCGAGTATTAATAAATAATATATATCCTTTAAAGTAGAAAAATACTTATTATATTAGATTTAAATTTTTATTGAAAAAAAGTTGATGAAGATAATTTTGAAATTTGATTAATTATTAATCCAAAATGTATTGAATTAAATCAAATATTTGGGACAAGAAAATTAAGATTTCTTGTATAAGTTCCGAATTTTAGAAAATATATATTATTTTAAACACAATTCATAACTTCGGAACTTGTGAAAAAACAAATATTTCTTTTTCTAAGACTATAGACGATAAGAGTAAATAGACATTTCAAGATATCCTTAACTACTAACAGTAATTAAAAAATGTTTGAGTGATGCTAGCTTTTAAAATGTGAGTAATATTTCCTTAGTACTAATTTGTTGAAGGTAAAAAGTAATAAAATTCATAATATTTCGTTTTATAAATGAATTATACATGAATATAGTCAATTTAATAAGAATTAATGGTATTATGAACTGGGAGGATTTGTATGAGGTTTTAGCTACTTTGTTATCGCAAGATTATAACCAAATGGTTGGATTAACATATTAAAATTTAAATTTATTACAAAAAGATATATAAGCGACAGAGATATAGGTGATAAAGGAAATTAAGAATATTCATAAGGTTATTAAATAAAGTATTGGACATGCAAATCTAATACTGATGTTTTTCTATCCTATTGCCATTGTAGAAGGATAGTTTAGTTCTAGAGATATCAACATTAGAGATTAGTTTTTAAAACAGGAGAATTAATCCATGAAAATTCCTTGTTTTGTATCCTTATTGGCATATACCTTTTCCTAATTATTTTAATTTATGAAAATTTATTATTTCTAGTAGTTATATAAAATTAACGTTATTATTTAATCCATTCAGGAATAACACAAACATACTACATCATATTGATTTCACTTAAACATATAATTCCTTGAATATTCTTAACTACAAAATAACGGATGGTATCTTCGAATTATTCAATTTATAAATCCTCAAAATAAAATCTTCATAAGTTAATAACTAAATCTTTATGCTTAATTTACTATACATTAAGACAAAGATAATTTTGTTATAAATTGATTTCTGCATATTTTATTAACAGGAAAAATTAAATAATCATTTCAAAAATCGAGAAAAAATTTACAAATAATTGCAATTACCTAGAATACTTCGGATGAAATCTATATTTAATAAATTTTTTGCAATTCGTAAGATTTAAAATTTCACTCAATTTAAGTCATGAATTTATTATTTAATCTTACAAAAGTGGCTATTTTATTTGTAAATATCTGTATTATTTAAAAATATGAAATATCAAGAAGGTTTACCTTATATTTTTATAATTTGATGATCATTACTCCAAATTTCATAAAAAATTTATGTTCAGTTTTCGTGCTTTAGACAATTAATTAAGTTTAATAAAAAAGATCTTTGAAAATTTTGTTTAATTATAAGTTTACTCCTCATCATACCAAAATATTTTAATTTCATACCCTGACGACTATTTCAAAGTATGAAGAAATTATATATTTAATATAGAAGCCTGTTTTATAGTAAATCCTTTCTTATGATTTACATCAGTCATTCCATTTTGAAGAGTTGAGAAAAAAACACAATTTCTTCATCCTTAAAGATGTTATTTCCTTTAATACTTTCTCTAACTAAACTCTAATCAATCTTTATAGAAGAATCAATCAAAATCACCACTTGTCTTTTTTCTTGAACCTTTTTTTTTGGTATTTTTAATTCTGTTGAAAAGGATGAGAAAATATACTTAAGTTCATGAACCTTTTATAAGGCCAATTCCCTCCTTCAAAATTCCCTTCTAAAAGAAATTTGATACTTCTACTAATAATTCCTTTTTTTTAATCTTTTTTACTAGATCAAAATTATTCGTTGTAAGATAAAAGCGAAAATTTTACTGAATTTGATCGGAAATTAATTTAATCAAATCAATTCTTATATAAATGCTCTCAGCATAAATAATATTAAAGTTAGCATCCAAAAAAAAGAATTATACTTCCTTCACTATAATGAAAGTTTCTTCTAACCTCACATTTTAAAGTAGTTTATTAAAAATTTTAGTTTACTTGGAATTATAACTCTTAAAATGGTGCAGTAGACTACTAATGAAACTCACATGAGAATATGTGAAATTGCATTTAACTTAAAATGAAGGGAACTATATGATTTATAAAGTGACTCTGTGTCTAGAATTAAACAAGAAATAATAAATATATTTGAGTTTATACAACTTGAGAATGATGACTTTCTGTAGGAAAAAGGATTGGTCAAGGATCATATTGACATAACGGATGTACTTTTTTATACATGAGATATGCAGATATTTCTTGTCTCCTAATTATGGAAGAATAAAGATGGTGGTGAAAGGTTCATACCAGAAGACAATAAATGCTCAAAATTTAACTTCATAAATTCTTTCTGAACAGTAAAATAAAATTTTTGATATATTTGTTTAAATTATTTAAGTATATTTAATCTTTGTAATGCGAATGAATCTAAATATTCATAAATATATCTTTCTATAGGTTAGTAAATGGTTAGTATGACTTTTCACTCACTTGATATTGGTTAAATTGTTGATGACAGTTAATATGTAATTATTGTTGACCTTTTCTTTTCTTTTCTGATTTATAATTAGATTCTGATTCTTTATTTTAATTTATTGTCTGAAATTTCTCTCCTTATAAATAAGTTACTTTTGTTATTAATATGTTCTCACGCCTTATGGTCTGGTAGAGTGTGTATGTTGTGCAATCAATATTGTTGAATAAGATTGCATTTTCAGAAATCTCCTTGTGGTTTGATAGATAGAGTATATCTAAACCAGAGTAATGCATATACCTTTACAAATTTCGTTTCAATACGAAATAAATTATCACAACTCGAACAATATCGTCCCCTATTGATACCATAGCCTCCTGAACTAGTGCAATAGTAATAAAAGAATTGTAAAAGCAGATGGAAGGCAAGAAAGCAATATCTTTTGATGCAATAGCACATTTATATATCATAATTTGCTACTGGAGAATACTCAAGGATAATGGAATGAGGGAACTTTTAGCTATAATCCAAAACTAAGGTGAGATAGACTAATCCCTTTGAATAAAGGAGGAAGAGAATAATTCCTAACGATATAATTATTGGAAAAGTTAGAAAATTTTAATACATGTTTCAAAAAATTTTAAAGATTTAGCAAATCTTGATACGCGTGTCATTTTTAGATAGATAGAAGATCATTCTTAAAAATAATAATAGAATAAAATTTCTGTTTTCATTTATAAATTTGAATTTAAAGTTAATAGATTGAAAATGTAAGAAGTCAATAAAATTCAACTATTTTATTACTTAATGTATATTTTGCCTTTATTTACTTATTGAGACTGAATCATAGGTTCACAGTTGGGTTTGGGTTTGGGGTTTGGGTTTGGGGTTGGGTTTGGGGTTTGGGTTTGGGGTTGGGTTTGGGGTTGGGGTTGGGGTTGGGGATTGGGGTTGGGGTT